TCCTGCTGATATTTAGATTATATAGTCTGGGGCTGTAAATTACATTATGGTGGCAAAACATTAGGTGAAAGGGCTACCAGAAAATGGATTATCAATGATAGTATTCACAAAGCAGGATACTAGACAGAAATAATGACAACGAAGAGTTCCATTTAATTTGTTTTTCTAACATATAAAATACAAAAGCTGTAGCACCATTTTAATTATTTTGAAAAATCTCAGGTGCCCAATTATGGTCTCAGTGTTCCAGTACAGCTGTGGTTTCTTGTTTGGTTGAATTGATAAAAATCTTATAAAAATCTTACTCAGCAAGGCTATTAGATTGTTGTAGAAGCACTACTCCATTATCATTATCTCTAACCATGTTGATAAATAATGGGAAATAATTTTGTACATGGCCTAACAGATTTTCACAACTTTATGTTAGACTAATTAAATGCATTTTTATGAAAACTGGAAAGATAGGAATAAACCTTTTTGGTTTTTTTTTCATACAAAATTTAGTACACAATTGACACCTTTGATTTTTTTCTGCAAAATTGGCTATTTATAAAAGAAGAAATTAAAAGCATATTTTATTGCTGTTGTACTCTCTGTTCTCTTCTGAATAAAATAATTAAATTTCTTGAATGAACGGCCTTTTGTAAGCCATGAATTTAGTCTGCTTGGCCTTTTGCACTTTACAAGACAGAAAATATGTATGAGCCAAAGCTTGCCATTAAAGAAATAACTATGTTTCTTTTTAATGTTGTTATGTCTTATAACTTCAGCGGTTCTACCAATAAACTCAGGCAAATTAGGAATTAGAGTAAAATCTCTCCAGTACTTAAGCTGTATAGTTGTGTTCAAGTCTATTTTCAAGGGTGTGTGTAATTTTCCTTTACTTTTTCTTTGAAGAACTGCCTCGGACCTCTTCACTGTTAGGCTTGAATTGCTTCCCAAAAGCCATCTGTCTACAAGGTTGTAAAATGAGAAGCCCTTAGAAAACTTTTCATCTTATTCTGAGGCAACTGATGGCAGTGTTGATATTGCTCGTGGGTACCTTGATTACAGCCACATCCAGGATTTTGAAAAACTATGAATACTTCTTTGTGTTTGCAAGTTCTTGGTCTTCTGGATGGAAGCATCTCTTTTTAAAGGAAGATTATTCTTCCTTTAAAAGAGAAAGAGAAAGTGTAGAGAACTGGCAAATAAAGATATTTCCAGTTAGAGTTCTGTGCCTGCACAGTCTAGCTTTATGCATGGTTTTAAACTGCAATCTGTATCACAGCTTGAAAGACTTACAATGAAATTCATACTTGCAGAAAATAATTGACTTGACATAAGAGTATCATTGTATAAACTCATGTTACATTTTTATATTTGATCTTATAGTTAGGGAAGGAAAAGCATTCCAGAAAAAACTTCTCATCAAAGGCCATTTTCAGTGCATGTACCTGCTGACATGCTGAAAGTTAGAGAAGGCAGCACAGCATCTATAGACTGTGCTGATCCATCCCCAAGTAACCTAATAAATATGACTCATATACAAAAGGGAAGGAAACTTATTTGCTAGACTGATGGACTGAAAAAAACATGAAGTATGTCAATGAAGAGAGCTTTGCAGATGGGCAGAGGCTGCACGACAACATGACTCATGCAAGTTATGTTGCTGGTTTTTGACTCTTCATTCTCAGTTACCATTGAAATGAATTTTTGAGTCTACAGATTAAGTATATTCTCCAACCAGGGACACTTCTGAGTAAAATGATTGGTACTTGCACCTTAACAGAAAGGGATGAACATCTGATAACAGGCACATTAGTCAGAAAAGGAAGACAAAATAAATTTTACTCCCCAAATAAATGAGACAGGGAATATTGTGACAACTGACATGGAGAAAGCTGAGATACTCAACAACATTTTGTCTCAGTTTTCACTGGCAATTTCTCTTCCCACTTGTCTTGAGTCCTTGAATATCAAGACAGGGCCTGAGGGAATGAAGTGTTCAAGGTCAGGTTGGACAGGGCTTTGAGCAAAACATGCCGCCCCCGCTCCTTCTTTTTCCTTTACCCCAGCTTTACTGCTGAACATGGTGTTGCAGGGTATGGAGTATCCCTATGGCCAGTGGTCAGCTTTCCTGGCTGTGTCCCTGTCCAACTTCTCTGCTCCCCTCAGCCTACTGACTGAAGGAGAAGTGGGGAAGACAGAAAGCTTTCATGCTGTGCAAGCACTGCTCAGGAATTGCCAAAACACTGGTGTGGTATCAAACTCTGTTTTAGGCACAAATCCAAAACACAGCACCATACGGGCCATGGAGAAAGTTAACTCTATCTCAGCCAGGCCCAGTACAATATCAAACTTTTTCAGAAGTTCAGCATAACTAGTCATGTAGAAAAGTAGAAACTATTTTTTTTTCCTGAAGTATGATTTACTTTTCAGTCTCTCTATGCCTACACATACAACCCTTGCATGATGTGGCATCTTTGAATTGAACATATCTTTAGTTGATATGACAGTTGTATTATTCCATCAAAGTTTTGAAGGGGATGGTTAAAAGATCTAACATATGTGTGCACTATTTATTCATAGTGACCAACTGAACAAGAGCCGGATTTTTCCAGAAACATGTAGAAAATGAACTGCACAGGTCTCAGAGATTTCTGCTGGTCATTCACTTTGTAGCTCATTAAGTGAGTCTTCCTAATGATCATTTTGTCTTCTGTTCTACCCAGTATCATAAAACTCAAGTCAGTTGTTCTAAGAACTGAGAATGAGGATCAGACATTGAACAAATGTCTGAAATTGCTTAATTATGAAATAAAAAAAAAGAAGATAAATGTGGGTTTTAGTTTATTTGGTCAGTACAAGGTTTTGTGATGGAAAATTCATAAAATTGAACATGGGACAATTTTT